CATTTACCTACTCCAAAAAACGACCTTTCTAGAGCAAAAATTACAATCAAACAATCTTCTATTAATAAATAAAATCCATTCAAAGTTACACGAAAATCGAAATTACTTCAGTAAGCTATTAAACTTTTATACCGAAATCAGATACTTGACCTTTGACTTACATCTACATGGAAAATGGAATTTTCCGGAAAAAATAAAGTAAGAAAAATATTTCGATACATAAAATATTATAAGGTTTCAACAGGCAGGTCATCTTATATCAAATCTATCAAATTCTTGCAATCAATTTTCAACTTTAAACACAAAAGACATAGAGTTAAAAATCGATTGAAGGAATTTACTCGTGTTTTATAAATAGAACCTTTATTAAAAGAGCATTGTTGCTACTTCCCTTGTCCTGAACAAACAGAATTCTAAATGAACGTACATACTAACATTATACATATACATACATGTACTATGTACATAATATTCACATCTTTGTGTAAGTAGAAAGGAGCGTCACATACTACCAACAACCTGTGTAGTATTTCTTTGGTTTCCTTTACAAAACAAATGAAAAGGTTATGTATGGAATGTTTACGTGGTCTAAAATGGACCGAATGTAACATTATTTTGTATATTCTGGTCATCATTGTGTGTCTCGACCGACTTTTTGTTCTCAGACCTCTGATTACAATGCCTAACACACATCAACACAATATAACACCCACTTTTCACCATTTATGGTATCAGTTCCATGTAATATGTGACAGCCTATTGCAGCACAATTGTAAAAATCCGAAAATAATCCCAATAATATTCTACCCGATCCCTCCGTACGTACTGAATTCTAAAAACCCCAAAAAAATCTTAATAATGTGTTGACCGATCTGGGAATCAATTTCAAAAGCCCTTGCTAGGCAGTTGCACTTACGACCACCAACAAATCACTCTGTTTACCCCATCTATGAAAACAATCAAACAATTAGACTGTGATGTACATTTTTTTGAAAACAGTAACTATGGCGTTTCTTGCTCGTTCTTCTCCATTCAAAATTACACTTTAGAACGAGCGCCTAGCTTCACTGACAGATAGTCGAAATTTACGGGACAATTAAATTTTTGACGTTTAAAAAATGCGTTATTAAGGATTTTTTTGTTTGTTTTTGTTTTATAGCATAAGCCGGTAAACGAGCAGACGGATCACCTGATGGTAAGCTATCGGCGCCGCCCATGGACACTCGAAACACCAAGGCGTTACAAGTGCGTTACCGGCCTTTTGGGAATTGGGAATTTGAGGATTGTGGAGAATTCGGGGATAGAGACGGGGACTAGGGCGGGGGGTAAATGGGCCTCCAGTAACCTCACTCACACGACGACACACAACGCAAGCGTTATTTCGCGTAGGTTTTTTGTGAGGCCGTGGTATCACTCCGGTCGAGCCGGCCCATTCGTGCCGAAGCATGGCAAAAATGGAAATAAATGCTTTGACTTTGACTTTGAATCATATCAATGTAACTTAGCCTTAGTTCCCTAAATTAAATACCTAATTACACTACCATAACTAACCAACACTTGTGTAATTTACAGTAGAGAACCATTTGCTAAATTATTAACGGTAACTAACTCTGAATTAGGCCTCTGATTGTAGCAAGCCCGAAGCATCAATACCTCATTAGCCAGATTAAATTAAGACTATCTAATTAGTCTCTAATTTATTTCTATTGCTGTTGTTGTTGTAATTGCGTTTTGGTTAGCAAAAATGCAATTAGGAATTAGAGTAAACATAATAAACATAGAAATCACTATCACGTGATAGTGTTTTTTTTAAGGGGGGAAAATCATCGAAGGCGGGGGGGAGTGTCAGACTCTTACTGACTAAAAACCACCCCGTTTCTTCTCCTGCACGTCGAGCCGGTGCCCCGGTAACCCGTTAGGTTCTCCGCGCCAAGAAGAGGGTTTGCTGTAACATCCACGCTTGAAAAAGATATTAATTTAGCCTTTGACTGCCGACAGAAAACTGTTGAAGGCAAATCCTCTAACATAGGTCACCGGTGACCTACGAGGCGGTTAGCGTGTTAAAAATATTTAACTTTATTAGAGACTGCTGGTCGGTCTCTGTCAAATAGCTTAGACCCTGTAAGCCCCCTACTTGATTTTTACATCTTACGAAACCCGCGGAAATGGTGACGATGGTGACAAATACGTGTTATCCTCTGCCGTATCCACACAGCTTACATGTAATCCATTTTCAATTAGCAATTTTCATATTATGGTGGTTATTATTGAATGACATTCAGCAACCCTGTCACATACGCATTGAACCAATTACGTAATGGCATCCACGGAGCGTTAATTAAAGATACGTCATACTCTGTGTACAGGTATTCGTTATTACAATAAGGTACATACGTAGTACTTACTTAGGTACATACATTTTCATCAATCGATTTTATGTCATCATCAGGTAAGTCTTCTAAATGATTAGTTTTAAAATTTGCCATTTTTGTAAAATTGGGGTTATTTAAGAATCATGGCTATTTTGATTGATTACCAAAAAAAATCAAGTTTTAGTCACGATAAAATATCAACCCGATATTTTCTTTATGTTCTTTCAAAGTCGCTCTAGCTGTCGTTTCGTATAATCCTAAAATTAAACCAATAGAAATTCTTAAATAAAATATCCAACTTCCACAATAAACAACAACAAACAAGAATCGTTTACGCCATCCCCCAAATCAGCGAGTCACTAACATACAACATTAGACAACACAGGTGTAATTAATTCTAAACTAATTACATCTCATGATACGCGAGACGAACTCCAAGTTACGCAACTAATCGTAACTATAACTATTCGTAACTAGTTTATGTAGTTACCGTCATGGAGTAAGAAGACGTGGAATTGAAACTGCAAACGTGTTCCGAAAAATAAAACATATAGTAGAATTATATATTATGCACTATGGTCTACTTAACTTGTATCTTATTTACCGTAAAATGAAAAAAAGTGTAGTCTAAAAAGTATTTATGGTATATCAAGTAAGAAGGATAAAATTACAAAAATACTGGCCAGTACACTGTCAAATAGTCACGTGTGACTTTTTTGTCATGCGTTCGAAATTTGAAAACACGCGGGATACTCGTAAATAGAAATCGATAAAAAGAAAAATAATTAGCAATTGTTTGTATTTTTAGTGTCACTTTTATAATGTTTTGTTTATTGTTTAGTGCTAAAGATATGTGAAATTAAAATAATTGTATAGTCAAGAGTAGTTAAAGAAAACATGATGGATAATTGTGCAGTTATTCCAGAATGCAGTAGGTAACAAATTATTCACAATTTTTTACATAAAAGATTAGGTCGCAATTTAGGTTTCTTCACTCAAATATTGATGCTTCCTTCATCATGTAGTTTTTTTTTTCTTCTTCTTCTTTGGCAACCGAGCATCATGTAGTTGTACACTGTAAAACACAAGCGGTGTGACACTATGTCGTGGTTGGATAAACTTTGACATTGTCATTAAAGTGAAGTTTCACAGTGGAATTAATAAAGCGTTGTCGTTGTACGAGACATGACAAGTTTACGCTTCTATATAAACTGAAAAATGTACTCATGTCTTTATTTTATTTTTATTTTAATGATTTGGCTCACCAACAATTGATTACACTTATACAATATAGGGTTACATTTACGAAAACTTAAATACTAGTGCATCAATCTATTATAGGTAAGCACAACATGCATTATATACTTAATGGTTTACAAATCACTATGAACAGAGACAGGCAAATCCAACCATTGACACTGATTTAACATTCAAAATAACTAAGAAGAATTATGTCTTCAAGTGTTCATCCTTACTAATATTATAAATCGGAAAGTGAGTTTGTTTGTTTGTTTGTTTGCTCCGCTTTCACGCCGTAACTACCGAACCAATTGCTTTGAATTTTTGCAGACGTAAAGTTAGAAGTCCGGATTAAACAATAGAGTACTTTTTATCCCGGAAAAATTGATATTCCCTAGGAAAAACAAATGTATTGGTGCAGATGGCGCTGTGTGTATTGGTATATGTCACATAGGCTACTTTTTATCCTTTTGTGACGCGAGGGAAGCCGCGGGTAAAAGCTAGTAAAAAATAAATGGATATTTCTCGTTTTCAAACTCATCATCATCATCATTATCAATAGCCTATAGATGTCCACTGCTGAGCAAAGCCTCTTCTCACACGGCGAAGCCTTGAGCATTAATCACCACGCTTGCTCAATTAAAAATTATAAGCCCAGGTTTCCTTACAATGATTTCCTTCACCGTTTGTCAGTGTCACATTGTGGAAAAGTCACTTTGGTATATGCTGTTGGTCTTTTAAAGTCGATTAAACAAAAACTATTCATATCTCTTACACAATACACACAATAAGCACTACGGTTTAGTGTTGACGCCTATATCGCGTTGTTCGTCATTCATTGCGCGCTCGCTCGGCGTTGACTCAAAGCTTATGTGGGTAAACGGTTCGTTACGCTCGAGACTACTCGGCACTCACTCCTGCCTGACATTCGTGGTTAGTTTGTGAAGTTACAACCTAACAGAATGAACTTTTGATGGAATATTTGGATAAAAGGACTAGACAAAGGGTATCGGATTTGTTGGGTTTTGTTAGTGTCTGTCGTAGTATTTTTGTTAGTTGAAATAGATTGAGGTATAAATAAAGCTGTAGTCTGTCTGAAAAAAAAATTATTGGTTCAAAACCAATGCGAAATACATAATATATCGGTTTTAATTGTGGTGTTAATAACTAGAAGCGTAATTCCTTCTTACACCTGATAAAAAAAAAATTAAGGTTACTTTCCATTTGAAGGTTTTTTTAAAGGGGTAAAATAATCGAATGACTGCTCCCGCCTAGGTGAGACGGGAGGGATTCTCAGACTCTTATTGACTAAAAACCACCCCGTTCCTTCTCTTTACCACTTCCTCTAGGCATCTTAAAATCAACGAAACTAATTTTACCCTTCTTTCCAGGTCAAAGTCATGCTTCGAGTGGGGGCATCAGGAGAAGGGCCTTTCACCAGTGGCACACAGACCTTCTCAATGGACAAACGTAAGAAGCAAGTGAGTCTGTGTGAAACTGCACCAGCTGCCACTGCTCCTGAGGATCGGAAGGTCGGCGTGGCTGCACCTAAGATGTTCGCATTCGATGCTATCTTCTCACAGGATGATGCTCAGGTCAGTTTACTTTATTTTAATATGGATAATATTATTCTTTGTTTTGTGATTAAGTTAGTTGGTGAATGAATTGGAGAAAAACTGACGTAGTAAGGTACAATTGAGCTATTTAACTTTTCTTTCATTTTTGAAACCGTTAAAATGTTCCAGCCTGTTGCCACGCTTAGGCACATAATATAGAATCGGATATTAAGTTCTCATTGTCATTATTCTTTGAAGACATTAATTTATCATTAGTCGAGTAATTATGAAGCCCTCATAAATCATTGATAATAGAGACGATATAAATATCAAATCTCTATAAATGAACGTCTTAAGAACTAAACTCGCTTGAAGATACCTAAGATAATTGTCGACAACAGTTAATAGCGTTGCTACTGAACACAATGATCGTCGTCATTAGAAAGGTACTAAAAGAGCCATCGCTGGAAAGGAAAAAGACCTTTGAGATTATCGGGACAAAAGAGGTAATTAGCGTAATTAGTTCGGCCAAATTACTGGAACAAAGGTAAGAAGAAAAGGAGAGGGAAATCGACGTATTTCTTTTTATTATGAGATGAAAGAAACATCTTAACAAAAAACTATATTTAGATAATGCTATTAGGAAAGCTTTTAGTAATCCAATATTTGTATTCTGTTACATAAAAAACAAATGTCGAGCTTCTTCGAGCTGGCCACTTAACGCACTATTTCTACATCAAAATCTTAGAAAAATATGAGTTTAATCTTGTGTCACACTATTAAGTGTGGGAGAACAATGCTTCGGCACGAATGGGCCGGCCCAACCGCAGTGATACAACGGCCTCACAAAAAACTGACGTGAAGCAACGCTTGCGTTGTGTTTCGTCGTGTGAATAAGGTTACCGGGGGCCCAATTATCCTCCCCTTCCCCAATCTCCCCAATTCCTGAATACCCAATGATCCTCAAACTCCCAATCCCAAAAAGGCCGGTAACGCACTTGTAACGCCTCTGGTGTTCCACGTGTCCATGGGCGACGTCGATTGCTTACCATCAGATGATCCGTCTGCTCGTTTACTCTGCTTATTCCATAAAAAAATACTTAAGAATACTTCTACTAGATAAACTGGCCTACTAAAATATTCAAGTTACTCCTTATAACATTCAAAACTGTACAACATTTTAAATTTCAAAAGTGCACAGATATTATAAAAATTCCTGTCGCCACTCACCTCTGAATTTTCGACGATATTATGCAACATATTAACATTATAAGGCAACATTTTCTCAGCGGCATACTAACGTCTCATGTCGCATACTACCGTCCCGAGGCGGCCTCGTAGTAAAAATAAGAGAATACTTACCTACTATTACATAAAACTTTCCTACTAAGGGAACAACGGACTATGTGACAAGCGATTTTTGCTAAACTTACGTACCTAATATTGCCAATTTTCCTGAATGCTTTCCATCTTTATAATGTAAAACTCAATCGATTACGAGATGCTTCGACGATTAATAAAATGGCCTGCTGTCAAACTTAGACTTATTTTGTACTACATATTCATATATAAATGAATGTACTTAGGTACACAATAATCTAAACCACTGCTAATATTACACACCACTACCATTTTTTATCAGAAACGTTCAATCTACATTACGTTTTCGACAGTTATTAGTCCCAACTTAACTCAATGACAGTGCATGAAAAGGCAACAAAATCGCCTCGTCACTCGCTAGCTCTCCTAACTTGCAGAATAGACGTGTGTCTAGGGGTAGTTCTGTACCCCTCTGAATTTCATGCACCAAAAATGTCGTCGTCGGAGCGAGCCGCGACTTCTCGTGTTTAAATTGTTAAACGCCGTGCAGTAGGCGACTTACGCCAACTATAGCGTTCCTTCCCTATACGACAATTTTCACATTTTTGTCGGTGCTCCCGGATAGAAATTGTTAGCGGTTTTAACGAGATTTTTAGCATATGATTCGCTTTATGTTATGAGCCTTTACAATTCCATAAGAGGGTTACTTTCGTAGGAGTTAATGTGGAGTTGAAGCTCTTTGAAGGTTTTTGAGAGTTTGGTCGCTAAAATGCTTGCCTTTTCTTTTACTTCAAGCTTTGGAAGAAACGTGTAAAAGGTGTTGATGGCAAAGTGTATGGTGGGAAACGAAGTTTTTTCTTACATAGCGACAGTGATGCATTGAAGTTAATAGATGATCCAATAAATGAATTTAATTTAATCTCTTTTAAGTTGTTAGATAAATCTAATAAACGTAGTAAACGATCTTAAAAAACAATTCATTCAGGGTATCCAATTAAACCAGAAACACTTTATGAAACTGAATACCACTAAAACAAGAAGAATTAAAATATCCAAACACATCCCTACATTCATTTTCTAAGCAGTTTCGTGATATTATCTAGTGTTAACTAAACATGAGCTTAAACCATGTAAATGGCTCCATTTAGTTCAGCAAGGAACAGACTGTTATCCCCAGGCTACGATGTTATCAATTCCCAAGTCACGTTTTTAATAAGGTTACACTTTATACCTAGGGCATAAAGTTTTCGACTAAAGTTAAAACTGGAAAATATTGTCGGAAAATACGTGAGGATGCCTTTGTAAATTTTAAACGGATAAGGCTAAAACTAAGCCCTGTTGTAGCAAATTTATATTTTTATCGTTTAACCTGTGAAGTGTCGGAATGGAGATATACGCGAGACACAATGTGTTTTCTATTGCGTCTCATATATCGACAGACAAGAGGGTAATATGTGCATTCTCTGAGTGAGAAAATAAGTGTTTGGACTAAATTTCGGTAAGTGGCCTCTCTCGACTAAGCACTCTCAAATCGAGCCTTTTTTCGACACAAAGACATGAAAGAGCTATCAATGAAGCATCTAAATATTAACTTCATTACTATTAATCAATTATTTAATACTATCACATGGATATTTCCCTCAATCTGTTGATATAATTATGTTCTCGCTTTCCACTCGCGGTTTCATCCAAATTTCTTAAATTTTCGTTAACTGCATACGCACGTATTAATGAACAATGTATTCTATCTTATATAAAAAATATAACTAAACTCAAAATTACGACATGTTACATAAACCCATCCCTAAAACTCGCTAATCCAATACGACGCAACTAAACGAAACGAGCAAAACCAGCAACAATCATAGTGAACAATTCACACAACAAGTCCACTGGTGCACACGAATCCCATTAGTTTAGTCCATGTCTATGTGTAACCGGAATTAGGAACCAGTATGGCTTAAATTGTAAGTGCACTGTCATTGTATTACATGTTTAAATCATTTTACATCTATTAGTAGAAATGTTTATGAAAATAGATGATTGATAAGAATAGTTAGTTACCCATAAACTTGATATTAATTGACTACCTAACAAATCAGTAACTTGATAGAAGAGTAGACACGTTTAAACACATGTATGTATAGGTGGACTTAATGCTGTAGATATAGACATTATCTATGAGTCTAACCTTTAAGGCCCGATTTTTCAATCATCTGAGGCCTTAGTACGAGTTTGTTTTACGCTTAAAGTATTCGAAACGAGTACGCGTTCGGCAATCTAATTGGCCGGCGCTAATAAACCAACCAACCAGAGCGCCGAACGCGTACTCGTTACGATTACTTTAACTCTTTGAGTAACGTCATTATAGACACAATTGAAGAACAATAGGTTGCGGTTACCGGTGTCCTCGCGGTGTTTGACAGTTTAAACGTAAAACAAACTCATACTAAGGCCTCAGGTAATTCTTCGCTGTAGAATAACAAAATGACTTTGATAGTTTTTAGTAGATATGGAAGAATTGTCAAATAATCAAAGTTATTCCTTTGTTATAATTTATCTGGCGTTGGAAAAATCGACCTTATCATGCTAAGAACAGTAGACAAATCTAATTAGAATTTAATTTTTGTCAAATAATGCTACTAAAAAACCGTAAAGTATACGCGGTGTTTCATAACTAGGTACATTTATCTACCAGCGTCAGCATCAGCTGTGATTAGTTTCCAAATTAATAAATTCAGTTTTTTTATTGTTTTCATTTGGTACAATGTTGTTCAATAATAGGGTAGAAGTCTAATTTTTTTTTAATGTCCGTCTAGTAGTTTATTTTAAATCATTACACACGTATTTTTTTATTTTCGTACAGAAACGAATACTTTCGACGATATATTGATTTGAAATGTCGCATGACGTCACTTCTATGTACATTTTATACATAGAAATGACGTTTTACCCCCCGTTCCTAAACTTTGATTAGTTTTATCTAAGTATTGTTTTATTATACGACAAAATAAAAAATACGTGTCTAATATTTTTTCATTACCTTACTTACGGACTAATTAGATTTTTAATTTTCATACCCTGTCATCATTCCAATTCTGTTATGGAGTATATTATGTACCTATATCGCTGGTTTCGATTTGCTTTATTATTACTATTTAGCAATTCCGACAAGCAAGATATATGTTTATTTATTTATACACACACAACTCCCGACTGCAGCACCCCCAAATCACACATCATACCACTTAAGACTAGAAATCCTGATCAGGAATCGTAGCTCCATAAACGGAGTAATAAATCACTTAGCCGTACTAATGCGAGTGCCTATGTAATTACTATAGACGCAAGTAAGCCTGCATTGTAATGCAGTGTATATGGAGATTATGAAAAGGCATGTGGCGGTTGAGATTTGTGTCTGGCAGCGGATGAGGTGACTTTTGAGATTGAGATTCTCAAGTTGATATTGTGTTTTTGTCATGAGGTTTCCTATTTTAAACACCCTTTAAGATGCAAGAATTAAATAAAAAAGTATTTGATACGGAAATTCTGAAAATAATTGTTAATTTTAAACATTGTCATCGTTCGTAAATTGAGAGAATCGTTCATATTGAGACCACAACTACAAATGAAACGAAATTTTAAGTGTATTGAAATAAAATCGTAAACAGACTGCACAGGTTCAACCAGACCTTCCCGATCAAAATAATTAAGAGAGC